TTGTGAAGAGACCAGCAACAAACATGGTTGTACAAGTATCTCTACAATAGGATGTCCTTTGGGTATATGCCAAGGAGTGGTATAACCAGGTCATATGGTAGGTTCATTCTTAGCTTTTTGATTCTCCACACTGTTTTCCATAGGGGTTTCAGGAGTTTGCAATCCCACCAGCAGTGAATGAGCATTTCCCTTTCTCCACATCCTTGCCAGCATTTGGTATCATTTATTCTCTTGATCCTAGCCAGTCTGACTGGGGTAGGGTGAAGCATTAAGGTGGTTTTAATTTACATTTCCCTATTTACTAATGATGTTGAACACTTTTTGAGATGTTTCTTAGCCAGCCATCTTTATTTCTTCCTCTGAGAACTTTCTGTTTAGATCTTTAGCCCATCTTTTAATTGGATCACTTGTTTTCTCATTTCTTTGTTTTTTGAGTTCTTTATATATTCTGGATGTTAAACCTCTGTCAGATGTGTCACTGGTGAAGATTTTTTCCAATTCTGTGGGTTTTCTCTTCACTTTCTTGATTGTTTCTTTTGCTGTGCGGAAGCTTTTTAGTTTAATGAGGTTCCACTTGTTGATTGCTTACCTAAGTTCCTGAGCAACTGGTGTCCAATTTAGAAAATCCTTTCCTACACCTATATCTTGTAGGTTATTGCCAATGTTTTCTTCTAATAGTTTCAGAGTTTCAGGCTTCACATTGAAGTCTTTGATCCATTTGGAGTTGACTTTGTGCAAGGTGAAAGATCGGGGTTTAGTTTCATTCTTCTACAGGTGGAGATCCAGTTTTGCCAGCACCATTTGTTGTAGATCCTGTCTTTTCTCCATTGTGTGTTCTTGGTACCTTTGTCAAATATCAGGTGGCTGACATTGTCTGTACTCAGCAAGGTCTTCAATGATGTTCCACTGATATATGTGTCTATTTTCATACCAGTACCATGCTGTTTTTAAGACTATAGCTCTGCGGTATACTTTGAGATCTGGTATAGTAATCCCCCCAGCATTGCTCTTTGTGCTCAGGGTTGTTTTAGCTATCTAGGATCTTTTGTGCTTCCATACAAATTTAAAGAGGTTTTTTTCTAATTCTGTGAAGTATAAAATGGGGATTTTGATTGGGATTGCATTGAATCTGTATATTACTTTTCATAGGATGGTCATTTTCCCAATATTTATTCTTCCAATCCATGAGCATTGGGGGGTCCTTCCATCTTCTGGTGTCTTCTCAATCTCTTTAAAGATTTAAAACTTTCATTGTAGAGATCTTTGATGTCATTGGTCAGGTTTATTCCAAGCTGTGGGATCTCAGGCGTAGTATCATACCATCTGCAAAAGGATAATTTGACCTCTTCTTTTCCAATTATTACTCCTTTAATTTCCCTCTCTTGTCTTGCTGCTCTAGGAAGAGTTTCAAGCACTATATAGAAAAGGAGTGGAGATAGTGGACATCCTTGTCTGGTTCCTGATTTCAATGGGAATGCTTCCAGTTTCTTTCCATTTACAATGATGTTGGCTGTGGGTTTGTTTTTTTATAGCTTTAATTATGTTGAGGTATGTTCTCTCCAGTCCAACTTCCTTTAGCACTTTTATCATGAATGCATGCTGAATTTTGTCAAAAGGCTTTTCTGCATCTATTGAGATGATGAGTGGTTTTTGTCTTTGAGTACATTTATATGATTGATGACATTTATTGACTTGTGTGTATTGAACCATCCCTGCATCTCTGGAATAAAGCCTACTTGATCGTGGTGAATGATCTTTTTAATGTACATCTGTATGTGGTTTGCAAGTATTGTGTTGAGAATTTTTGCATCTATGTTCATTAAGGTGTCTTTATCTGGTTTGGGAATTAGAGTAATGCTGGGTTCATAGAAGGAATTTTGGAGTTCTCCCTCTGTTTCTATTGTTTTGAATAATTTAAGTACCATTGGTCAGAGGTCTTCCTTAAGTGTTTGGTAGAATTCTGCTGTAAATCCATCCAGGCCTGGTTTTTTCATTAGGAGGCTTTGTATTACTGTTTTGATTTCCTTATATGTTATATAAGATCTGTTTAAACTGTTGAACTCTTCTTGGTTTAACTTTGGTGGGCCCCGTGATTTTAGATATCCATCTGTTTCTTTTAGTTTTTCAAATTTTGTAGAGTATAGGTTTTCTAAGTATTTCCTTATAATGTTTTGGGTCTTTGTGGTATCTGCTGTGATGTTTCCCTTTTCATCCTTTATTTTGTTGATTTGGGATTGCTTTTTCCTTCTTTGGTTACCTGGGCTAAGAGCCTGTCTATCTTGTTTAGCTTTTCAAAGAACCAGCTCTTAGATTTAGTGATTCTTTTTATTTTTTTATTTTTTGTTGTTTCTATTTCATTAATTTCTGCTTTGATTTTTGTTATTTCTTCTCTTTTCCTGGGTTTGGGTTTCATTTGTTCTTGCCTTTCCAGCATCTTGAGTTGCAATGTTAAGTAATTTATTTGTGCTTTTCCTAATTTTTTTAATGTAGGCACTTAGAACTATAAACTTCCTACTTAGGACTGCTTTTAAAATACCCAAAGGTTGTGTTGTGTTGTGTTGTCTTTTTCATTGAATTCCAGGAATTCTTTTATTTCTTTCTTAATTTCTTCTTTGACCCACTCCTCATTCAGGAGTGGAGTGTTTAATCACCATGAATTTGTGTAGTGACTAGGGCTTCCTCCAGTGTTGATTTTGAGCTTTATTGCATTTTGGTCTGATAGAATGCATGGAATTTCTTCAATTTTTTTGTATTTGTTGAGGTTTGTTTTGTGGCCCAGAATGTGGTCAATTTTTGAGAAACTTCCATGGGTGCTGAGTAGAAAGTGTATTCTTTGAGGCTTAGGTGGAATATTCGAAAGATGTCTGTTGGGTCCATTTGATGTATGGTATCATTTAACTCAGTCATCTTTCTGTTTATTCTTTGCCCAATTGACCTGTCTAATGAAGATAGTGGGGTATTGAAGTCCCCTACTATTACTAAGTTGGGGTTAATCTGTGTCTTCAAGTCCTGTAGTGTTGTTTTTATGAATTTGGGTGCACCAGAGTTTTTTGTCAGATATTAGAATTGCAACCCCTGCTTGTTTCTTAGTGCCGTTTGCTTGGAATATTCTTTTCCATCCTTTCACCTTAAGGTAGTGCCTGTCCTTGAAGGTAGGATGGGTTTCTTGCAGACAGCAAAGAGGTGGATTTTGTTTCTTAATCTATTCACTTAGCCTGTGTCTTTTGACTGGGGAGTTTAGTCCATTGATATTTAAGGTTTTTATTGAAAGGTGTGTATTGGTTGTCATCATTTTGATTGCTGTTTGTGCTCTCTGTGTAATTTTGTGTTTCCTCAATTATACCTTTATTTATTTTCTTTCATTGCCCCTGGGGTGTAGTTGCATCTCCCTCTTCTCTCTATATTATTTCAAGTATTCCTTGAAGGGCTGGTTTTGTGAACATGTATTCTTTCAGGCTATTCGCATCATAGAAGATTTTTCTTCCTCCCCTTTATAATAGACATTTTTGCTGGGTAAAGTATTCTGGGCTGGCATCTACGGTCATTTAGAACTGGAAATACCTTGGTCCAGTCTCTTCTGGCTTTCATAGTTTGCACTGATAAGTCAGCTGTAATTCTGATGGGTTTTCCTTCATATGTAACTTGTTGTTTTTCTTTTTCTGCTTTCAGTATTGTCTCTTTGTTCTGTACATTTAGTGTTTTTACTATGATGTGCTGTGGAGAGTTTCTTTTCTGATCCTGTCTGTTTGGTGTTCTATATGCTTCTTGTATTTGTATGGGGATGTTTCCTTAATTTTGGGAAATTCTCTTCTACAGCTCTGTTTAAGATCTGGTCAATACCATTACCCTGAAATTCTTCTCCTTCCTCAATGCCTATAATATGTAGATTTCGTCTATTCATAGTATCCCACATCTCCTGCACATTCCATTCCTGTGTTTTTTAATTTTTTTCATAACCTTTGCTTGAGTGGTCCAGTTCTTCAACTTTCTCCTCCAGTGCTGATATTCTGTTTTCCATTTCATTCATTCTAGCAGTGAGGCTTTCCCCTGTTGTTTCCAGTTGGCTTATTGAGTTTTGCACGTCCTTCTTCCTTTCTGCCTGAGTTTTCTTCAATGTTTCTGTCCCTCTTGTGAATTCAGTCAAAAGTTTATCCCTATCTTTTCATTCTTTGATTTGCTTATTTGCATGTTTTATAAATTCATTGAATTCCTTGATCATGTTTATGACTGCTCTTTTAAATGCTGTGTCTGAGGTTATTTCTAAGGGGTTCTCCTTGTCGAATTCTTCAGGACTGGTGGAGTTTGGTGGGGACATTGTGTTTTAGCTTTCCATTTTATTATTCTTTTGTTGTGATTTTGGCTTGTGAATTTTTTTTGCTGTTTGTGATTTTGGTATGAAAATCAAGTCTTCTTTTGTTTAGTTGAGGTTTGCTTCTGTTTGTATTATTGGTGTGCCATATATATTTTTTTAATTGTAGAGCTGGTTGGTCCAGGTTTCAAGTTCTCTCAGATTTTATTTTGGAGGGAACTGATGGCTTCAGATCAGCTACTCAGAAGTTCCCACAGAAGCCCAAGTCAGGCTCAAGTAAGGTATACTCAGGCTTCCATCTAACCTTTTGACCACATATTACGGGTATTCATAGCACAATTTGGGAAGTTCCCTAGGGGGAGGCCTGATTTTGGTACTCTCAGGTGATCTGCTGAGTTCTCAGCCCCTACACTAGGTGGAGGCTGGATCAGATGCTCTCAGGTGACTGCTGAGTTCTCAGCATCTCAACCAGATGGAGGCCAGAACATCTACTCTTAGGCTGTCTCAAGTTATAATAATAATGATTTAATCATTGATTTTGTGATCATGTATGTCTGCACACGTCTGTAATCTGAGATCCTGGAAGACTGAAACAGGAGGATTGTTGAGAGAATTTGACCAATCTAGGGTACAAAGTGAGATCCAGGCCAGTATGGAATAAATATTGAGAGTTGGTCTCAACAAACAAAGAATTTCTTCTTGGCCTTGTGGCTGAGATCCAGTGCAGTATCTGTTTTTCTCAGTTTAATGTGGTTTTGATGTGGACATGAGGTGATCAAAGTTATTGAGCAGATGGAGGACTGAGGAGAGGTGCCGCACTGAGGATGGGCTTAGAACTGAGAGAGGAGCTCTATCTGCTGATACTCCTGTTTTTTAAGACAAGGTCCTCCTTACACACCAGGCTGGCCTCAAACCAGGCAATCTCCCACCTTGGCCTCCATAGTGCTGTGATTACAGGTGAGAGTAACCACACTCAGATTAGAATGACTTATTTTTAGCTTTCCTGTTCCTACTTCTTTCCTTCTCCATCTCCACTTCCTTCTTTTGTAGTACTAAGAAGCTGAACATAATGTCACATACATGCTAATTTTCTGAGACTGGTCTCAAATGTGCAATTCTACTGCCTCAGCTTCTGGAGTAGCTGAGATTACAGGTGTGAGCCAGTATTACTGCCCCCCCAGCCAACAAAAATGCTAATTTTATTTGTAAAAGAACCTGATAACCCTGAGCAAGGTGAGCAGGGCTTTAATTCAAGCCCTCAGGATATATGAAAAGCCCATTTTGTAATCTAACTTGAAAATATAATTGAAAAAAAATATTTTTTTCAATTTGTTCTGCATGGGTGGGTAAGAAGCTATAGGTTATTAAATGAAAACACAGCGTCACATGTGGCATATCTACCTAAGGATTGTTGGAGAGGAAGTCCCAGCAGCTCCTATCTAGTTCTTGGCTTCCCACCAGAACTAGATATCAAGATTCTACCGCTGAAGACTCACATACTCTTTGGTGACAGGACAGAGGTAAATCAAGCACGACCTGATCTGGAAGTTCCCTTTCTGTTACCTAAGAAGGTGCTATGCAGGCTGTGAGGAGAGAAGCCATCAGTGGTTTTATCCAACCAGGAACCCCGAAAGCTACAACAATGCTCTACCACTGGTGTAGTAGCAGCATGACTGAGGGGTAGCTAGTCAGCTTCTGATTAGATTTGAGGACTGTAGCTCTGGTGGGAACTCATGCCTGGAACTGGTCATCTGGTGAACATTCTATGACTGGGGAGGTCATAGGCCTTATGGGAGAACTCATGACATTGTTTTGCTAAATTGTGATGTCGAACATTTTGTATGAGTATGTAACATAGGTTGAATATGTTCTCCCTCTGCCTCTCCCTTTCTTCCCTTGTTATTCCCTTTGTTCTTTAGACAGTTTCCTGTCTATTGTCATATCATATATACACACATACATCATACATCATACACACATACATACATACATACATCATACATACATGACTTGATGCATCTATATAGGAATCACAGAGAAGAGAAAATATAATTTGTCTCTCTGGGACTGGCTTAATTCACCCACTATGAGAATCTTCAGGTTCATCTATTCTCCTGCAAGCCATGTAATTTTCTTCCCTATGGTGAAACAATTCCATGTGTATGTCGCACACCGTATTTTCTTTATTCCTTCTCCTATTTGTGGACACTTGTGTTGGTTCCACAGCTTAATTACTGTGAATAGTGCTGCAGTAAATATTGATGTGCAAGTATCTCTGCGATATGTGACTTGGGCCTCTCAGCCAAATATCCAAGAGTGGTATAGCTGGGTTATATGGTGATATGGTATAGTTTACTGTAGTTGCTTTTTTGAGGTAAAGTTCTCAGGTAGTTAGACTAGTATCAAACTTATTTTACCAGGATGTCCTTGAGCTTCTGATCCTTCTTTGTTACAGGCCCCTGGAACCAAACCAGGCCTATTTTCATTTTCTTTTTTTTTTTGTGGAACCTAATAAAATAGTGCTGTCCTAGTTTGCTTTTCTGTTGCTGTGATAAAACACTGACCAAAAGCAACTCGGAGTGTAAGGGGTTTATAGCTCACAGTCCATCATCAAGAGAAGCCAAAGCAGGAACTGAGGTAGAGACCATGGATACTGCTTCCTGGCTTGCTTCCCTTGGCTTGCTCAGCTAGGCCCACCTTCCCAGTGTGGCACTGCCCACGGTGGGCTGGTCCCTCTTCCATCAATTAGCAATGAAGAAAATGCCCTACAGACATGGTCACGGGTCAGTCTGATGGAGAAATTCCTCAACTGAGGTTCCCTCTGAAGTCGTGTGATGTTGACAACCAAACAAGTGACTGGGCTAGTTTACATCCTAGCCACTGTTAGTTATGTTTTATTTTGTGTATGTGTGTTTGTGTGTGTGAGTGCAGGCACACGTGTGCCACGGTATGCATGGATGTAGAGAACAACATTGTGTGTCTGTCCTCCACCTTGTAGGGATGGGCTCTCTTCCTTGTTCTCAGATGTGTAAGCCAGCTGGGCCCACAGCTTTCAGGCAGTTATTTTGTCTTCACTCTCATCTTCCTGTAGGACAGCTGGGTTTACAGGGTCCCACTTTATCTGCATGGGTCCTGGAATTTGAGCTCAGGTCCTCATACTTGCACAGCAAGTATTTTACCAAATGAGCTATCTCCCTAGCCCTGTTTCTTGTTTGGCCACTGTTCTGATGGGGATGGGATAGAATCTCAGTACAGGTTGAATTTGCATTTCTCTGATGACTAGTGAATACATTTTTTCATGTTTATTGGCCATTTGTATTTCATCTTTTGAGAACCGCTTCTTGTGTTAGCAAGATTTGTTGATTGATTTCTTGCTTTCGTTCTTTGCACATTCTAAATACTGATCATCTGTCAGATGTATAGCTTACAAAGATATTCTCCCTTTCTGTAGGCCATCTCTTCACTCCACTAGCTATTTCATTTCCTGTGCAGAAGTTTTTATTTTAAAATTTTATTGCATTTACTTATTTGTGTGTATATGTGAGTGTGTGTGCATGCATGTGTATGCACCATGGCACATGTGTGGCGATCAGAAGACAGCGTTCAGGAGTTGGTTCTCTTTCCAGTTTTCTGGTTTGGGAATCAAACTGACTTTGTCAGGGTTGACTGTAGGTACATCTGTCTGGTGAGCCACCTCAGATTTCCCAATAGTTGGGCGATACTCTCTAAGCAGCTGGAGTCCTAGTCAGAAAGTCCTCACCTATGCCCCTATCTTGAAGTGTTTTCCCTACTTTTTCCTTGAACAACGTCAGAATTTCGGTTCTTACATTAAAGTCTTTGATCTATTTGGAGTTGATTTTTGTATAGAGTGAGAGATAGAAATCTAGTTTCATTCCTCTACACACAGATACTCAGTTTTCTCAGCAACATCTATTGAAGACGCTATTTTTTTTCCCAACGTAAGTTTTTATCATCTTTGTCAAAAAGCAAGTGACTGCAGCACTGTGTGATTTAGTCCTGGGTGTTCTGTTCTGTAGCATATTAACCTATTTCATAACAGAAAAACTCTTCATGGAAACAACTACTTTTAAAATGAAACAAACGTACTTTACTTAACGAATGAATACTTTGCATTTCTGCAGTTCTCCTGTCCTATCAATGGAAAAAGCATCGGCTTTTCATATAATCTTCTGCGTTCGTTATCAAACATGTGTTTGCTAATATGACCACACATCCTTCCAGAAAGGTTTGGCTGATATAGGTAAGCTGTAAAGTTCATGGTGGTAGATACAAGTTTTTCCAATTCTTGTTTTTTCCCTTGAGAGTTTACATTTTACGACTGGAAACAAATATGGCCAACTGAGCTTCTAGAGGCAAGTTCCATGTTCATTTCTGAGAAAACACTTCTAAGTATCCAGGTGTAAACTACAGTTCCTCTGTCATCCACTCATTCAAGTAAACAATAGCCCATAAAAGGTTAGCTATTTTTAATTTTTTTTCCATACAGGGTCTCCCTGTAGCTCCAGCTGGCTTGGAACTTGATATCAGGAGATCAGGCTGGCCTCGATCTCCAAAGTGCTGGGATTAAAGATGTGTGCTACCACACCTGGCTCTATTTTTAAATTTTTATAATTTTGTCATTACTATTATTATGTGCATGAAACGTGTAGATGCACATGTCATAGTGGACACGTGGAAGCTGGGAAAATTTTGTGGAGTCAGTTCTCTCTTTTCACTTTTATGTGGGTTTCATGGATTGAATTCAGGTTCTAGGCTTGTGTGGGAAGTGCCTTTACCCACTGAGCCATCTCCCCAGCCCAAGAAGGCTAGCTCTGCTCACAGCTATTTCCCCTGAGGCAAACACCTTAGAATGTAGCAAAAATGCATCGCATATACTTCCTACACTAGGAGAGAATATTGAAAACGTAGACTCAAGGTATTGATTTAATGAGGTCAATATTTATTGCTTCAAGGAAAACACTTCTAGGGGGAAATGGCTCAGCAGTTGGGAGCACTGGCTGCTCTTGCCAAGAACCCACATGGTGGCTAACAGCATCCATAACTCCAGTTCCAGGGAAATCTAACACACTCTCCTGACCAGGCAGTGTACAACATAGCGCACTTACATACATGCAGGCAATATACTCATACACATTTTTTAAAAAAAGAAAAAAGAAAAACATTTCTAGCTGAATGTGGAGGACCACCTAAATGTCAGTACTTTAGAAGTGGGGGGGGTGGAGAATCAAGATTCAAAGTCAGCTTCAACTACATATCACATTTAAAAATGTAACTGCCTTTTTTATCATGCAAGTAATTGGTGAGGAATGTAACTAGAAAGTGCTATTACAGTTGGGTTCCACAGTCTTGATTTATGCTAAGGTATTAATAAATTCACTGTGAAGCCCAGTACAATAAACATGGCAAGTAAATTCTAGAAATACAAAAATAATTTTGACCTCATGGAGCTTATGAAAGCATCTCAGTGACCTTCAGGAGCTGCTGTTCTGAACAGGGTATGGCGACAGCCAGCGTTCCCAGCACTTGGAAGGCTGAGGTAGGAAGGTCATTGTACGGTAAGGAACAATCCAGCCTAGAGAAGCGTCTATCCCCCTTTCTACGGGGTACGGGGAGAATGCTGAAATCAGGGCACGGTAAATAAATTTTAGAGGAACTCAGTGGGCTTAGAGAGCATACAGTGCCCTGGGACAGAGTCTCTTGGGCCCATAGAAGAACTGGTTTATAAATGGTTTGAAAATTATTCTTTTTGGAGCGCTGAATAAAACTGAAGTAGATGAAGATGGTGTGTGGCCAGGCTGTCCAGGATGCTGGCAGGTTTCCTGCCGTATGAGGCAGTGAACAAATCACAGGGGAGGACCAGAGGCAGCTGT